CTCTGCAGTCACTTCCTGGCAAGCTTAGCTCAGCCTTCCTGGGGCCCTTGGGGCCTTGTCTACACCAGGGCCCCCTAGCTGAACCCCCCCCAAGCAATGGCTTTCCTTCCCTGCAGCTGGCCACAGCGAGACACCTGCTGTCAGCAGCTGCCTGGCACGTTCGTGCTCTGCGGCAGCCGCCCTTGCCTGGTGAAGTCAGTGATCCCTGCGCTTGAAGTGCAGGTGGTGCCAGGCCCCGCTGCTCAGTTCCCACAGTCCCTCTGGCCTGGCACAGGCCCCCGAGTGCTGCAAAGGGACGTCTCCTGCCCGAGCAGGCAAAGCCACCTCCTGGCACCAGTGTTGACTTGTGCGCGGGCCTGGCAGATGTTCCCTGACCCAGCCCCCGTGGCCGGGTGCAGCGCGCCGTTGCGTGGCGTTCACATGCTCGGCCGGGCGGTCCTGCCTCAGCCCTCCGCGGCGCCTGGCGTCTGTGGGCCTTGTGCGTCTCAGGCTCTTTATCTCCCTTCCTGCCCTGGCTTCGTTCCACGCCTGCGCTGCGGTGGCTGGGCAGGCAGCCTCCCCTGCATCACTGTCTCTGGTTTCCTTTTCCCCTCCCCCTGCTCTCCTGTATCCTCCTGCCCTTCCCCTGCGCTGCTTCCTGCCTCCCCACGGCAGTGCCTGGTCCCCGCACGGCCACTGGCCAGCAGCCGTCTAGGGGGGTAAATCCCCAGGGTGCAGGGGCTGCTGCGCAGGCAGCCCGCATCCCCTTATGCAGGGCTGCTGGAGGGGCTGGGGCACAGGTGCCTGGCAGCAGGTTTAGGATGGCTTCGAGGGACCGCATGCCCATCCTTCTGCGCCAGATGATGGTGCCCACAGGGGCCGGTGCCTGTCCTTGCTCCGGCTCTGTTGCCCCTTCTCCCAGCCTCACGGTGCCTGCTGAGATCCTGGCCACCTGCCCAGAGATCCCTTCCCTTCCCTTCCTGTGTGGGAGGCAGCCGTGGTTGCCACGGGGCAGGCAGCGATGCTGGGCAGGAAGCAGGGATCCCAGCAGGGCATCTGGGGGAAGCTGCTACCTATCAGCCTTAACCAGGGGCAGGAGAGAGCTGCATGGGGGCACGTGCACTGGAGGACTCACCTTCCTGCCAGCGCTACCCCGGGGCAGGACAGTGCCTTCCCAGCCAGGGCTGCTTGCAGCAGGCTTCTCGGCACTGGCTGTTTGTGAGGGGAGCATGGCAAGCAGCGGCACGGCAGGATGCTGGAATGGGCATCGCTAGCCACACGCAGCCCTTGTCCCACTGCGCGAATGTTGATGCCCTGGTGAGGTCCTCAGCAAGTTGCAGCCGTCTCCTGTACCAAGGGGGTGTGGACGCATGTGCGTGTGTTGCGGAAAAGGTCTAGGGCCACGTAGCTGAGCTCCTACCAACCGCCGATCACGTGGGGCTGCACACTGACACGCGATCCCTGCTCCAAGCCACCTCAGTCCATGCCTGCTCCCTCCAGCATACGAAACCATCCAGAGTCCAGTTCAGGACGTGGTCCTGGCTGCAGGTTGATGGAGTGTGCTCCCACCCGCTGGGACTGCTGCGGGCGGCTTTCCCCAGCTGCAAAGGGCACGTCAAGCTCTGTGCCAGAAGCTGCTGTGGTGCTGTACTTCCCGGCAGGCCCTCCCTGGTCCCAGGGCTTCCCAGGCACTGTCAGTGACTTGTGTCTAAGGTTTTGGGGGGCAGGGGGAAGATCCCCAGTTGAAATATTGAAAGTGGCAGGCTCACAGGACAGCAGGCAGGAGGGGACCTCACAAGGTCGTATCTAGTCCAGGCAGGATCAGCCCTGGCTAAACCCTCCCAGTCAGGGACTTGTCCAGCCTGCTCTTGAAAACTTCATGGGTGGAGACGCCGCAGCTTCTCCATGCCTGTTCCAGTGCTGGACCCCCCTCGCAGCCAGAAAGCTCCTCCTCTCCAGCCTCAGTTTCCCCTGCTGCAGCAGAGGCCATTGCTCCTCATCCTGTCCCCTGCAGCCACAGAGAAAAGCCCATCTCTGTCCTCCCTATAATCACCCTGCAGGTGTTGGAAGACTTATCCAGTCCCCCCTTCTCCGCTCTATGTAGCCCTGACTCTTTCAGCCTTTCCTCAGTCCTGCTTCCTGGCCCCTAATCATTTTTTGTTGCTCTGCACTGGGCTCATCCCAAACTTCTTGAAGTGCAGGGCCCCAAACCGGACCTGGATCTCCAGGTGAAGCCTCCCCAGTGCTGAGCAGAGTGGAGGAATCGCCCGTCTCCCTGGTCTGATGTCACGGGTTGGGGCTCGTGGCACGTCTAGCGGTTCGGTGCAGTGCTGCTGTTCTGCAGCCGCTTCTGCTCCCACCCAAAAAAATCTAGTGTAACCAGCGTTTAATATAATCATGCTGCGGCCTCGAGGGCAGACCGGTGGGTCAAGGGATGCCATGGTGCATATCTCTGCTGACGCTGTGGGTGCAGTTCTGGCTCCCAGCTCGGCACATCAGCATATTGGGGCCTCAGATTTACTGTCGCTGTTTCTGTGCCCAGTGGATCCCTACTGTTGCACCCCCGGGTCAATTCTCCTTCACTAATAATGTAAATGTGAGCAACTGCCCTGTAGCAAGTAGGTTCCTGGCAGCTTCAGCATCGTGGTTCGGTGAGGCACAGAGGCCACAGAGATGAGCGTGTGGGCAGGTGTATGCTTTGGCCCTCGTGCCCATCATTAGGACACTGCAGGCTGTGCTGGTGCCAGCTGGGGGGACAGGAAAGCCCCACGGGGATGTTAGTGAGAACACGGCCCAGGGTGACCCCTCAGGACGTGACCCCCATGCCTGACGCACTGCCACTGACTCCTGCTCTGGTTTCTGTCCAAAGCATCGTGTGAAGAAGAAGCCCACGCCAGTGAAGTATGACATGGACGACCTCGTCTGGGCCAAGTTCAGCCGCCGGCCCTGGTGGCCCTGCACCATCTGCTTCGACCCGACACTGGATTGCCACTCGAAGATGAAAGGTAACGCCCCTGCGTGGCTGGGGCCGCTGGTGAGCTGCACCGCACCCCTGCTGCTCCGAGCGTGAGGGGTGTGCTGTAGCAGCCCTGCTTCCCAACTCAATGGATGTGCCAGATGTGCGGGGCTCTGCTGCCCTGAGACAGGCAACGGTGCTGGGTGGCACTGAGCAGAGACCAGGGCGGAGGTGAAGAGAGGTGGCCCAGCCCTAGCCAGTGGGAGCCAGCGCCAGCAGGGAAAAGGCGCGCGGTGGGGGATGGATCAGGAGCCCAAAGAGGTTCAGGCTGGTGCTTCGTCGCACCTGGGCAGAATTGCACGCTGCCCTTCCCGCCGGCCCAGGGGTGAAGCTGTTCCCTTGTCTCAAGCACTGCGCTGCTGGGCAGAACGCGACCAGGGCTGGGACCCCGTGGCCGTCCCGTCCGTGCACGGGCCCAGTGCCTGCTCTGGGTCCTCTTTGCCCAGAGCCTTCTGACCTGCCTGCCCTGTGGTGACCCAGCTAGTGGTACCCTGGGCATGTGCGCACCCTGTGTAACCATGCAGCTCCTCCAGCACTGCCTGCATGCTCACGGGGTAGGGTGGGGAGGAACATCCTGCAACGGTGCCCCATCCCCTTGCGTCCAGAGTAGATGGGCTGTGCCTGGCAGTAACCAGTTGAACAAGGAAAGGGGAACAAAGGTGGGAGATGAGAGCTCCCTCCCTAGGGTCACAGCCTGTGCACAGCGGGGCTCATTTCCAGGGAGATGGTGTCACATGAGCGAGTTGCAGTCCCGGCAGAGGTGGCCACTGGACATGTCCCTGTGGCAGGGGGAGGCAGGTGTGTGTGTTCATGGGGGGGAGTTGCCAACCTGTTGCCCTCCAGCTTTGAGCCTTTGCTGCAGTGGAGGCAGGTGCATGGGCCTATAGATCACCTGTTTCGGAGCAGTCCCCGTTGCTGGGTATACGGTGCCAGCCTGGAGCACTGAGGCAGGGGCACCCTCTCTCGGGACAGCGGTAACACAGGAGCACGGGGAGTTAGGCCAGTGCTGGTTGCGTGGGCAGATGTCACTGTCCGTGCTGTGCTTCCCACACCTTTGCCCCATTGCACACAAGGCGCTGACCTGACCCCCTTTGGTCCCTTCCCGCAGCGTCCAACCGGAGACCATACCGCGAATACTATGTCGAAGCCCTGGGGGACCCCTCGGAGAAGGCCTGGGTGGCCGGGAAAGCAATCATGCCCTTTGAGGGCAGACACCAGTTTGACGAGCTGCCAGTTCTGCGGAAGAGAGGGAAGCAAAAAGAAAAAGGCTACAAGCACAAGGTAGGGCTCCATGCCGTGTGCTCTGGGCTTGCGTGGCGGGTCCTTCTCGGCATCTGTCAGCACAGCTGGCTCATGCCTGGGCCTCCAGAGACTTGCTGGCACCCATCGGTCCTAGTACCCATCGGTGCCACCACCCACTCAGCGTCTGGGTGTGGTTTGCTGAAATAGCTTCCCAGACTCATCAGCCCCCCTTCCGCCCAATTCCCCGCTGCCCCAGACCTGATCAGGCACGGTGCTAACGCAGCTGGAACATGTTCTAGGAGCTCCTGGAGCGGTCGTGCCCCGTGCAGCAGTGCAGCGCCCAGGGTCCTCCCGGCAGCCTCCTGCAGGTGCCCACAGGAAGCAGCCGGTGAGCGCAGGAGCGCGCAGTGCTGCTTGCAGAGTCGCAGGGTGGGGGTGCTCCCCTCCGCACGTGGGACACGTCCCCGCAGGGGGACAGCCCTGGAGACATTTGCTGCCATTGGAGATGTTCCCCTTCCGTCCCTGGACAGGGCACTCAGCACGGGACTAGGAGGACTGTTCTTGGTCCCAGAGTCTGGCATTGCTGCTGTGCTCCCCTGGGGCCTGTCTGTGCTCTGAGGCCCCAGGAGGTCTCTGGCTCGTACCTTGTGTGATTGGGCTGCGTGACTGCAGCTCTGGGAACAGCCGCGGTACCTGTGCACTGTGCCAGGCTGGTGTCAGATCTCCTGCAGAGCCACCCAAGCATCTGGCTACTCTGAGCCGGTGAGATCCCGTATGTAACCCTGGAAAGAGCAGGGCCAGGCACTGAAGCCAACCCCAGGCCTGGGGTTGATGTTGGCTTGCAGCATTGTCCATAAAACCCTCGTTCATCATCTGATCCAGATGCACCAATGCCCGCGCTCTGCTATGGGGATGTCCCAGGCTTCTGCACTGTGCTGGTTGCCCCCTTTCTGCTCTATGCCTCGGAGGATTTTTAAGCCTCCCCCAGAGGCACTGGTGCGGCTCCAGCCCAGGCTGGGGATGGGGCTGGGCTGGGCCAATGCTCCTGCTGGCAGCAGCCCCACAGGGTCCTGGCTGGAGGGTCTTGCCTCCATGCTCAGGCTCAGGCAGGTCAGGAAGAAGTTTTTATCTCTGCTTAGACTGGTCTGGACTGGGGGCGGGGGGGGTTGCTTTCTCTGCAGCGGGGGTACGGCCTTGGCCTGGGTCTCTGGAGCGTCTGTTAACAACCTCGTGTAGAAGCAGGATGCTGGTGGCTGTGGTCCCCTGCTTCCCCTGTGGCAGGGTCAGGTGTGATGTCTGTGTTGTGCCAGGGTTGATGGTATCTTAGATGATGGATTTGTCTGGGCTGGTTTGGACAGGGCCGATCCCTGCCAGCCCCGCGCCTCTGGGACTCCTGTGATTTCTGTGACTCCCGGAGGCTGAGGTACCTAGGGGCCGGGCCTACAGCCCGGCTACTGAGGGATTTCTGGTGCCCCGTGCACGTGTGCAGGGTGGCATTCACCAGGCTGCGGTGGGGCTGCAGGAGCAAGGCTCTCCCCCTCCTCCGCGTGACATTGATGGTCCCTGTGTTTTTGTCTCCTCTCACAGGTGCCTCAGCGGTTCATGGCCAAGTGGAAGGTCGGTGTCTCCCAGGCAGAAGACCTGCTCCTGCAGGGACTGGAGGAGTGGATGCGCAGCCCGAGCCCCCGCAAGCCGGGCCGCAGGAAGGGGGCACAGCTGCAGCCACCATGCACAAATGGCCCCAGCACGGTGCGGGGCCGGCAGCTCAACGGCTGCTTCGGCTCCCTGGCGTTTCCCTCCAGGTACACGGGCAACGAGAAGGGCAAGTCGGGCACCAAATCACAGGTGAAGAAGAACTCGGATAGCCGGAAGAGGACGAGGGTAAAAAAGAGCAGAGTGCGGATGGAGACGGCGAAGAGGGGGCTCGGGGGGCAGGCGCCCAGGAGCATGGCCAGGAACTTGCTGGGGGGGAACCTGCCGGAGAAGCACGCGTCCCATGAGCTGCGGCGCATCGCGAGCAGCTTGACGATCTCTGGCGGCACCAAGGAAAACCACCTGCTGGCGTCGTTTGGGGACAGGCGCTTCGAGAAGGAGCACACGTACGGGGCCCCGAGCAGCGCCGCCCCGCGGGACTCGCGCTCCAGCCCCTCCACGGAGCGGGGCAGCCCCGGCACCTTCTACCGCAGCTCCCAGCAGCACAGCCGTTACTCCATGCCTGGCGCCAGGGACCTGGACAGCGACTCCGACTCGCTGACCTCCTCCTCCTCCTCCTCCTCCTCCTCCTTCTCCTCCTCCTCTTCCTCTTCCTCCTCCTCCTCCTCTTCCTCTGAGGACAACGGGGATAGCGACCTGGACCTCATGGACCAGAGCCCCGAGAGAGCTTTTGGCGCCCTGCACATCAGCGACGAGACGCTGGATGAGGACTTTCCTGTCGGGGCCAGTGGGAGCCTGAGCCGTGCTGTGCGCCTGGCTCAGAGCAGTGGCCGGAGAGCCAGGAAACGGGCCTACCGGGACCACCGACCCCTGCAGAGCTCCCACGCCAGCAGCATCGAGTCGGGACCCGAAGAAGGGGAGGTCGAAGAAGCCTCCTCAGACGCTGAGCCACCCACCCCTGCCCGCCTGTGCCCTGCGCCTGCCCGACGCGACGGTCTCCCCCCTGCAGACAAGCACACTACGCCCCTCGGCACCGGCCCTCCTGCCTGGGCGCCCAGCCAGGGGGCTGCACCGCCTCACGGCCTCCAGCTGCTGTCGGGCAGAAGTGCCCTGCGCGCTGCAGGGCCAGAGCCCGGCCCGGCCCGGGAGGAGAGCGGCACGCGTCGCGGCACTGCCAGCACCAAAGGTTTCCCCGGCGCCGCCCTGGAGCCGCTCGGCAAAAGCAGCAAGGCGGACGGCCAGCGGCTGCTGAACAACGTGCACGAGAAGCACCAGGAGGCGGCCGAGGTGGAGGCGGCTGTGGTGAAGCACTCGCTGTCCTTCCGGTCCCTCAGCGAGGAGGCGAGCGGCGGTGGGCCCCCGAAGCCCGCCGTGCCCTCGCTCTTCACATCGGCCTCTGGCCATGGCCTGCCTATCGAGCCGGACTACAAGTTCAGCACCCTGCTGATGATGCTGAAGGACATGCACGACAGCAAGACCAAGGAGCAGCAGCTCAAGGCGACGCAGAACATGGTCCCGTATCGTGGCGACGGCCCCGGGAGCGGCGTGGCCAGCGCCCCAAAGCTGCTGCCTGCGCTGGGCCACCCCTTCAAGGTGGAGCGGAACGGGGATTGTCTCCCGGAGGTGGCGCGGCAGAGCCCGAGTGCGAGCGAGCCCTCCCTGTCCAGCACGGTGGCCAAGCTCCCCGGACTCGGGGCCAGCAAGAGGGAGCCAGGCAGTGCTCCGGCCTCCAGCTCCAACGGCACCAACTGCATCGCCAGGCGCCACGGTGCTAAGCCCAAGCCACCGCCCAAGCGAGCGGGGAGCAGGAAGGAGGCGAAGCTGGACAGGCCTGCCCCGGCCCTCGGGCGGTTCTCGCGGGATGCAGCTGCCGGCGGGTCCCGCAAGCGCAGAGAGGTGCTGGGGGCAGGGACGGGTCCCCTGGGCAAGGACACGGGCAGCTCGGAAAGGAAAGGGCCCCTGGGGCTGCTGGGGCACTCCACCGACGAGGACTCGGTGTGCTCCTCCTCCGACAGCTCAGACCCCCTCCGCGGGATGCCCGCACTGGAGAAGAGCGTCCCGAGCTGCACGTCCGCTGAGAACAGCGAGAGCCCGGAGCTGGACTCGGAGGCCAACAGCGAGTGCTCCCTGGGTGAGGAGTCCAGCGGTGCCAACCACGTGGCGCCCAAGAAGCGCTGGCAGCGTTTTAACCAAAGCAGTGCAAAAGCCAGTAAGCAAGGCCGCCGGCCTCGGGCCCCGGGGAGCTCGCAGCGGGCCGTCCAGGGCCGGACTCCCAGCACCTTCCCGCTGAAGGGAAGCAAGTGCACGGTGCCCAGGCCTCCTGCCCCCAGCCCAAGCGACGCAGCAGGGCAGGGCTGCCAGAACCACCGGGACTCAGCCATGCCACGGCTGACGGCACGCGACAAGCCCAACACGGAGCCAGATCTGGGCAGCTTTGCGCCCCGGGCTGAGTTCCCTGCACAAGGTAAAGGAGTGAGGCTTCCATGCGTGTGGATGTATGTTCATGCATGTGTGCACGTGTGCATATCTGCACACTTCACACGGCTCTGCTGTACAGGATGAGCATGCTGCTGAGAGCTGCCCCAGGTTCAGCACGGCCTGCATGGACACGGGTTTCCCTCGTGTTATCCTGCAGCCGTGACCGCTCGGCCCAGCTTCCCACCCAGTCCCACTGTCCCGCTCCCTTTCCCTGCGCGGGTCCGTAACTTGCCTCTGGCACCGCGCTCTCAGTGGAGCCACATCTGGCTGCTGCAAGCAGAAGCGAAGTGAGAGGTGGTGATGCAGGGGCCAAGCCGGGGGGAGCCCCTGGGAGCTTCATGGACGATGGTGCCACTGCAAATGGCATGCAGGCTCCCAGTGGCTGGTGCAGTTGGAGGCCCTGGGGGGTGCTGGTGTTTCACTAAGCAAGTGAAGACCCACCTCTGCCTCCAGCCTGCTGCATGTTGCAGGCATGAGAGCCATGCACTGACGAGGGGCATCAGCAGTCGTGCAGGGACAGTCTGAGTAAGGGGAGCCTGGAGCCCAGGGAGGCAGCAGGCCTGGGGGAGTGGGGGCAGGATGTGGGGTGTCCGCAGGAGAAGAGGCAGAAGGCGGGTGCGTGGGGCTGGGGGCAGTGTGCACAGGACAGGGGCTGAGCTCCCAGCAGGCATCCAACTCTGCAGGTAGAAACTAGACCAAAGTCCAGCCCAGACTCTACCCTCCTGGCCCTCCCTGGGAGCCCACCTGGGAAAGCATGGCTGGCTTTGCAATGTGCCCTGGCAGCTGTTGGACCCACGGGTCACCGCGGTGCCTGGCGCTGTGTGTTCCCCAGGTACCCGCAGTGCCCTGAATGTCACCACCCTGCAGCCACGGTCACCCCTGCAGCCAGGCTGAGCAGGATGTGCAGTGAGGGGAGATTCGACGTGTTCCTGGCCAGTGACACGTCTTGGGTTGGGCCAGGGCAGGAGCTGCTGCAAGTGGCTGAATGTGGGTGTCCTTGTAGAGCGAGCAGCCTGGCTAAGGAGGGACCGGGTCGCCGGTGCCCACGAGGCTCGGCAGAGCCAAACAAGGTTGCAGTTGCTGTGTCCTAGGTACCAGGGGCCATGAATGCCTGGGCCCCAGGCTGCCCCACACTGTGCCTGGAGTTACCCTGCGCGGCCCCATGCGGAGTGCACCTGTCCTGAGCAGACAGCATTGCTTCCTGAGCTTTGGGTTTATGCTCGTTTAAGCAACGTGCCACCATGAGGCTTGGCCGCCCTGTCCAGGCCCCTCCATTGCACGGGGGTTGTGCGGGAGAGCTCTGCTAGGAACATGACTGCCGAGATATACACGGATAGGCAGCTCCTACATGCATGTGCATGTGTATGTGCATGTTCATGCGCACACACAAATGCAAGTCCACACACATGCTGGAGCCTTGTGATGAACAGAGGCTATTCTCTCCTTGCTCTCAAGACCCCAGGGCTTTCCAGCATGAGGGACTGGGCTGACCTTAAGGAGCCCTTCAACCAGCAAAGGCAGAAGGGAACAGAGGGTGCAGGGCACTGCCCAGCCCGGAGGCAGCCAGGGGCACTTGCAAGCCGATGGCAGGCTGTGGGCACCATGTGCCCTGCCCCATAGCCCAGTGGCAGGGCTGGAGATGGCTCCTGCTCCATCAGGCTCCTGGCATGGAGGGGATGCTGCCCCCTCACCATGGTGACCTCCTGGCAGCCTGTCCAGCAGCACTTGGGACCCCCGATAAGGCAGCTCCATGCCCAGAGAGGCTGGCAGCCTCCTCAGGATGCAGGCAGGGCGCCTGGCGCAGGCAGCTCCCTGCAGAGTCTTGCAAGAGCTGCCGGCTCCTGCAGGCACAGTGCCGCGTGGAAGAAAAGGGGACGTGGGTGGGGGGAGGCGACCCTGCAACCCGAGCGATGCATCTGCAGCAGCTGGCGGTGGAACTTGGGCTGCCCCCAAGCCGCGCCAAGGAGAGCAGCCCTCTCGGCCCGGACCACGGCGCGTGGGACAGCTGGGGCTGCCTGGCTGGGCCGGGGGCTGCTGGAGCGAGGCTTGGCCGCAGGCACTGCTGACAGGGCTGTGGGCGCAGGCGCCACAGGTGCCGTGGCCGTGGGACACGGGGTGCGGGTGTGGCTTCCTAGGGTGCCCCGTTCCGGGAGTTCAGGCTCTTCTGCCAGCCCCGGGCAGTCAAGATCAGGGGTCAAAGTGACTGCAGCGAGGTCCAGGACTCGGGTGGCTCCGAGCCTTTCTGTTTGTTGGGCCTGGGAGGAGGCCTCGGTGGGGGTTTCGTCCTAGCCCCAAGGGCTGACCCTGCTCTCTGTTGCTCGCAGTCATTTCGGAGCGGAAGCGCCTGAGGAAGCCAAGCAAGCGGCTGCTGGAGTATGCCGAGGAGTACGACCACATCTTCGCGCCCAAGAAGAAGCCCAGGAAGAGCCATGAGCCATCGCGGAAGGTAGGCAAGATCCGGCGCTGCCGCTGCTCCCTGCCCCAGCGGCCCGGCGCTGCTTGCTTCGCCTCTGCGGTGTGCATGGTGCTGCCCGGGCCGAGCGCGCTTTCATCTGTGTGTGTTGCTGTGCCAGGTGAATGCCCTAGAGAGGTCTGAGTGTCAAGAGGAGGAAGGTCTTCCCGCACCGCGCAGCCCTGGCCGTGGCGCTCAGAGCAGGCGGCTAGAGCACAGCCCTTTCGTTTCAACTCCATCTTCCTCTTCAACCAAAGAGTCTCCTCCGGTCCTTGAGCGAGAGCCGCCCCTCTCGGAAGAGCCCGCGGAGCCGGCCAGCCGCCTCGGAGAGGGGCCCGCAGAGCTGCCTGAGCTGACGCTGTCTTCCCCGGATTTGTCGGAGATCTCTGCTTCCCCGGAGGCAGAGGAGCGGTTCCTGAAGGCAGGTAGGCATGAGGCCACGCAGTGCCCAGGCAGGGGCAGGAGTCTGGCTTCGGGCCATCGGCCTCGCCCCGTGCTGCTGCCGTTGGCACGAGTGTGAAGCAGGCGTGTTGATCGCTCACGTGGGCACTACAGGGGCAGAGGGCAGGGAAGCATGAAGCCAGGGACGGGCGCCAAAGGGATCGGGCAAGCCCTGTGGCCTGGGCAACCTCGCTGGGGCCTGTCCGCAGCCTGGGTCCTGCATCCGCGCTCTCGCGGCAGTCAGGCTGGGCCGCGTTGCATGGGCGCCGTACTGCTAGCAGCAGCCCCCTCCAAGGGGGTGACACGTCAGGGCTGAGGCTTCCTGCCAGTGGGTCTCTGATGGATGTGCTTTGCGAGCCAAGGGACGGCTGTGCTGGCCTAACGAGAAGCGCTCTCTTGCAGGGAGCTTTGAGAGCAAGCGGCAAAGGAAGCCCACGAAGAAGCTCTTGGAGTCCAATGACCTGGACACCACGTTCATGCCAAAGAAGGAGTGGACTCCGCCAAAGAAGGTGCATCCCTGCAGCTGGGCCGGACACGAATGCCACACGGGCAGCAGACGTAGCACGCATCCCCCATTCTGGGGCAGCCGAGGGGCCCTGGCTGGGGCATCCCTCAGGGGTTACCCCTGCAGAGCAGCGCGTGTCCCGTTGCGCAGGGCCCTTGAGCCGTGGCCGTGGGGGTGCCCGGGCTGGGTCCCGTGCCGGTGCCGAGAGCTGCTGCAGCGCTCGGTACCAGAGACCGCTCCGGTCACACTGAGCCGTGCTCGTCTAACGGGTTTCCCTCTGGCTGAGACGTGGCCGGTAGCAGTAGCTCCTAGGAGGGCAGACTGGCTCGGGGCGCAGCAGCTCTGTGCTGGGGCGAGTGCAGCTGGTAACTCGTACCCGGTG